GGATATCGAGTTACATAAGTGATCGCAGTCAACACGTCTTTGTAAACGGAGCTATATCCAAGCCCAGGTACTTAACAGCTGGCGTCCCCCAGGGATCAGTATTGGGACCCTTTTTGTTCGTGGTCTATGTTAACGATATTGCTGATAAATTAGATTGTGTAACAAGACTTTTTGCTGATGATACCTCGCTTGGAAAATCATCGAAAAATACTAAAGAAATCGAAACTTCTCTTAATACCAATTTAGACATATTATATAGCTGGAGCAAAAACTGGCTGGTCTCATATAATCCTGTAAAAACAGAAGCAGTGTTGTTTTCCATGATTGATGAAACTGAAGAATTGAAATTATTTTTTGACGGAAAGCAAATCAATTTGGTAAACAATCATAAACATCTCGGAATAACATTTGAAGCAAAAGGCAAATGGTCTTGTCATACTAATCAAATTATGAAGTCGTGCTCCAAAATGATATCATCAATGCGGAAATTGAAATACTTACTTAACAGAAATACAATCAATACTATTTATAAGATATTTATCAGACCACACTTTGAATATGCTTGTGAATTATGGGATGGCTGTACTGTAAAACAGAAAGAAAACTTAGAGAAACTTCAGTCAGAAGCTGCCAGAATAGTGACGGGTCTACCTATATATATTTCACGTCAATTTCTATATTATGAGACAGTGTGGGAAAGGCTGGATGAACGAAGGAAAAGAAGAAAACTTTGTCTATTCTACAAAATTCAAAATGATTTAGCCCCTGTATACTTAAAAGATATTACTCCAGATAGTGTTGGATCAAGATCTAATTATAACCTTAGGAATGCTAACAATATTATTCTACCTTCTGCAAGGTTAAGACTTTCATATGATTCCTTTTTTCCATCAACTGTAAGAATGTGGAATAATATTTCTGATACCGAAAGAAATCGACCTTCATTACAAAGTTTCAAGTCGTACTTAAAGTGCGAGCAACCTGTAGCTCCATCATATTACTCGTTTGGAATTAGAAAATTAAATATTATTCACACAAAGTTGAGATATATGACTAGTCAGCTAAATTATAATCTGTATCGTTTCAACATGAAAGATTCTGCTTCTTGTTACTGTGGCAATACTTGTGAAAATGTACATCACTTCCTATTAGAATATAAACTGTACAACATTCAAAGGGAAATATTAATGTTAAATTTAAAAAGTATTGTAAATCGAGACTCTCCAATCACATTTGTCATTGATGTTATTTGGAAGTCCTGATATGACCATTCAACAGAATGAATACGTTTTTAAAGGTGTGCAAAGTTTTATTCATCAATCAAAACGTTTTGTGTGATCACATGAGTTGTATCCCTTCCTCTACTTAACTTTCCTATCTCTTCTCTCTATTCTTTCCTAATATGTATATAATTGAAAATGTATGTATGTAAATATTAGGGAGCGGGTATTTTAAGTTGGATTACTTGTCCCCAATCCCTTTCACTTTTGTGAATAAAATATGTTTAAATCAAATCAACCTATTATAGTATACACATATTATCGTATACACATATTATGGTATACACATATTATATTATACACATATTATAGTATACACATATTATAGTATACACATATTATAGTATACACATATTATAGTATACACATATTATAGTATTCACATATTATGGTATACACATATAGTATACACATAGACAAGAACTATATCAGTCATATACTGTTGTTTCACGCCGCACTCAGCAATATTCCAGCTATATGGCGGCGGCCTGTAAATAATCGAGTCCGGACCAGACAATCCAGTGATCAACACCATGAACAGGAATTTACGCAACTGGATACGATGACATGTGTCAACCAAGTCAGCGAGCCTGACCACCCGATCCCGTTAGTCGCCTCTTACGACAAGGATGTTTTACAGTCGGAGGATCATGAACTTCTTTTGTATTTAATAAAAGAGTAATATAATCTGTTGGATGTGTGGACTGAAGAACTGTTCACAGATTGTCTGAAACCCACATACAACGTAATCTGCCTCGCGGATTGCACTATAAGATGTCTCCATAAATAGATGCGTTTGGGATACGTGTTTAATTTATGTATATAGATGATGGCTTTGTTCTTAGACAGCGCGCTGTGCACGCGAACGCATTATGCTTCGCAGATAGAACATCTTCGTTAGATTTTCATGCATGTTTTTATTTTCTGAACATATTTCGTGGTGCTATCCGGGATATTAGTTGGTTGATTAGATATTAAATATTTAGATGTTTGTTACATGTTAGTAATTCGGTCATAGTAGGACGTTAGTAAGCTACTCCAGGTTTCGTGTAGTGCCTTAAATTCATTAGTGTGTATATAATTCGACAATTGGGGGTAAATAAAAGATGGCTTAAACATTAAGAATTTTATTTTCATTCCACTGCAAAACAGTGTGTGTGCGTATGTGTGTGCGTGCGTGTGTGTTGTGTGTGTGATTTGATAGAATGGTGATAAATGTACGATAGGATGGTCCTACACATTCATGTCTTTAAAAATAAACCCGATGATATATTTGTTTTTTACTAAAACATAACACTGTCCATTTCGTGAACATGTGCGATGTTTGGGATTACACTTTCTCAGTAAAGTATTCAGATTCTGGTACTTTTTTGGTGTTTGGTCAGATCACACTCTCAGATTACGGCCCATATTCCCCAGTACACAAAGCCATAGATCTAACCCACTAAGCCATTGCGACTAGAAGTGGAAGTCGGACAAGAGGTAGTCTGTATCATGTACTTTGTGTATCCCTCTGGCAAGTATAAATTGGCAGGGGACACATTGTCATTTAGAAAGTGTTCAACCACTTAATATATCACACACACATACACACGCAAATAACTGTATCTAAGAATTGACAGCAAAAAAAGGCGTGTCTGCTGATGAGGTTGTCATATTTCGTGTTGAAACGATCATTTCCAGCGATCTTGTTTCGACACTCAGGCGGGTGCCCTCGCTCAACGCGCAATTGCAATAAATAGAGAGGGTGTCAAACTATCATAGAAAGATCTGTACATTTCTAGACCCGTCTGCCAAATGGCAAAACCTGATATAATTGAAAAATAATGAAAATGCGAGGGAAAACTTATCATTACTCTTGCGCCACATGTTCTTCTTTCACTGTCTAGCGAGGAAATGGAGTTGCTTTTGGGGCAACTCCACATTTCTCGTGGGCAGCACTTCCACCCAGTGTGATACCGTACCGTCGCTTTTCTGTTTGTTTTCTCCCTTATATTTATCGTCGTTGAGTATTAAATTTGGCATCTTAGAAAAGAAATACAGTTTTAATGTCTTCAGCATTAAAGAATGAAATGGCAATACTGTCTCTGAAATGTTTTAGGATGACGATATTGACACATGAGAATATTCCAAAAATATTCCATTATCTCAACTGTACCATTTAGACTGTACCAAAAGCTTAATATTCCCATTTTCATTATTAAAAATGCACACTTTGTTCATAAACATCACATAAACACATCACAGTATGAACCCATTATAGTTGTTATGAAATAGTAGTGAACCTTCCACACATGCTAAACATTGTATTCAAAACAAAAAGGTCACTACATGGACGTGTAAGGTGCATGTTTACTTTAACTATCAGATGGTTCATACCTCCAGCAATGTGTGTGCGTGTGGGTGTGTGGTGTGTGGGTGTGGGTGTTGGTGTGGGCCTGGGTGTGGGTGTTTTACACCGTTTCATCAGCTTTATTTTTCGTGTAGGCATACAAGTTCTTCGTGCTTTGAGCCTTCACATTTTTCATTTTGGACACCTTCCAGGTTCCGTACTTCGTGATATAAGAATTACAGAGAAACAAGTTGGTTTAATGTCGACTGATACTTCCAATATCAGATTGTGACGGCTAAGGTTGCCCAGCAACTACCGCCGCACTCCTAGCGGGCAAGGGCCGCAAGGGCCGCAATGTGTCCCATTACGCCAGAACATTTTTCAGTCTGGTATCATTTAACTGACAGCAACACATTTCACTGTAAATGTCCAATTGTATCCTGACCATGTTTCTGTGCACATCATGAAAAACGCGTGCACGAAATTCATTTAATATCATGCATCTGGGTTCCCAAATACATGTATCACTCCAAAGTGGAATATGCCCAACGTTACTATGATTTATAGTAATATAGGTGATTATCATAATTGTTGGGTAATGGCAGATGTTTGTTTGTATAGTCATGATGGGATTTATAGATTGTTTAACATCAGTCAGCATTAATGCAGTTGTAGGGGCGGTGGAGTTGCCTAGTGGTAAAGCGTTCGCTCGTCACGCCTAAGACCCGGGTTCGATTCTCCGCATGGGTAGAATGTGTGAAGCCCATATCTGGTGTCCCCCGCCGTGATGTTGCTGGAAAACGCTAAGAGCGGCGTAAAACAATACTCACTCACTACCGCTGTAACAAGATGATGCTATTACAACCACTGGTTGTATATAACTATAGTAAGGTTTGAGTTGGAATTAAGTGGTTTTGACTTTTGTCACATTGCTGTTTCGTCAGTCATTATCAGTCTTAAACTGTAGCACCTTAACCCACTCCAGAGTCTTATAAGTAGAAACCCATGGAGACGTTATGTTTCATATGAAATCTCTGCTGAATCAGAGCCAATTTTCCGACTATACCATCCGTGATTTGAATTTTGCAACAACTTTAGGAAAAGTCGTAATATGCTTTTAATTCTTGGTAGAAAGATTGTACCCATAATGTTGGGAAATTTAGAAACCGGTATGCTTAATGCTCATGTAATACAAACCAGGAAAATATTCAGGATATGTTTATCTACAACTGCTGTGAAACTGAACAACACTGGCATGCAACTCCAGTCTAAGTCCACGATCAGCAGATCCTGGTACGATTAAGAGACAATTCAGCAAATTAACTGCAGAGTATTTGACAACATTTGAGATTTCCAGTTTTTTTTAAATAGACAACAAAATATCGTATATAGTGAAAGCTTTATTGATAATAAGATTCAACATAACAGAAAATGACGAAGAACAGCAATGTACTATGTACAAAATCGGGGGACGCTGTCAAATTACAGATACTGAAAATACAATCCTATTTATCGGGGATGGGTTGGGGTGGAGGAAGGGCGGGGTGGAGGTATGGTGGGGACTAAAATCAACACAACGGAACACGGAACATGGAAATAATAAGAAACACGTTTGTACATCTTGTGTACACAGCGTTTGAGGGCGTCTCAGCACATCTCTTGTGCTTGCTTAATAATGTTCCTGGCTAAACAGGGGCGGTAGGGTAGACTAGTGGTTAAAGCGTTCGCTCGTCACGCCGAAGATTCGGGTTCTATTCCCCACATGGGTGCAATGTGTGAAGCCCATTTCTGTTGCCCCCCGCCGTGATATTGCGAAAAAGCGGCGTAAAATCAAACCCACTCACTCCTGGCTAAACAACGACCGTTGCTGGTACAGGTTTCAATCTTTCGTTAAACGTTTGCATACATCCCACATATGACAAGTATGTATGCGGAGTTGCCTTGTTTAAACCAAGTATGACACGCTATGTGCGTTTTGTGCATGTACTTCCTTATATTGTCAGTAGAATGTATACATCCAGAGCAGCATGGCTCAACTACGTCTGTATATATCCATCCTCCTGACAGACACAATCAATTCCTATCTCACATAGAGACGCTTTCAAAGATATAAATACACCAAAACTTATACTTTTTTAATGTTTTTCAGAATGCCACTCAAATCTCCTAACAGGCAAAATCAATAACATTCTCAAATGTAGACCATTTACCAGATATCTAAATACATCAAAACCTATGTGCATTTGATTTCCAAACCTGACAAAATATATATTATTAATGTTTTTAGAATGTCACTTGGCTGAATACATCCAGGGTAGCATGGCTCAACCACACCTGTATATATCCACCCTCCTGACAGCCCGAAAGAGACAACGTGTTTAGTAACAGTAAACCTACATAAATGTGTCTGACAAATAGATCAGATATTATTTGGTAATGTAACCCTGAAACAGTTCTGACAGATCTAACACGTTTTCCCAATTGTATTCAAGAAAGACTGCCTTAGGGTACTGCCCAAATGTAATGTTTTATGTTCCAGGGACACTGACTCTTTGAAATGACAGATAAAGTTACACTGAGATCAATTAGTGTACTGATGATTGACAGTTCTTTAAGGACATCCCGGTCAGTGTTCTGTAGCATGTAGGACCTTGGGAGATCCTGACATCCTTCTGGAGGGAAGACGGTCACGGCGTCAGTCAGGTGCTTCATGATGTCTGTTGGATAAAGGTACATGTGTTTAAAGTCTGTAACTTTGACGAATGAATAACAAATTTATGCATGGCGATTATTGCATTTATTTACATGGAAAACCTGTTATAAAAGTAGGAAACACGATGCCGACATCATCATGAAGTGGCTACGATATGTCTTCCTTCAAATGCCTTCTAAGTCTGAGTACATAATCTATTTTAGCTGCCTGATGTTCAGGTGGAAGATAGCTAGTGCAGTGTATCTGTGTTGTATTTAATATATACCAATACATTGCTCAGATCTAAGTTTCAACTACTTACCGTAGAAAACATGCAGATGGTGACGGTGAGACAGGTGAGTTTGATGACAGGTGTAGCAGGTGGGAGACAGAAGAGATCAGGTGGAAGATAGCTAGAGTACTGTCGGGAATAGAAAAAAACAACTATCTACAATTTCGGTAGTTAATATGTGAAATGGTGAGAAATATCTGTTAAACTAAGTTCGGCCTAACAACAGTCTCAGTGGTAGGGAGATGGGAAACATAAATAAGGACTTTACTGTGGAGAGATTAGTGCAGAAATAATCAATCAATCTATTGACTCCAAACCCACCTACGGTGGTACAAGAGCAGAACACCAGATATAATACACATAATACACGCGTCGTTGCTACTATTTCTTAACAGGGTTTGTAAAATATTTATTTATCTAGACAGGCATTTCAGTTCTTTTGTGCATTTAGGTGTCCAAATTTTACAAAAGTTTATACATTTGGGTATTGATAATATAGTTTCGGAATATACAATAATCTGGTTGGGAGAAGAGCTACATATCTAAAGATGTAATGAATCTCATCTCCCATTACATTTTGGTTGCAAAGTATACATAAACGAACTTCCCTCGCAATGCCCTGCCACCGACCAGTCGCTATGGGTAGTGATTAATTGAAGTGCGGAATCTTAGAATAGGGATAGAGACAGAATTAGGTATAGTACGTAAGTATTGTTCATATTGTATTCATTGTTTTCTCTTCACTTTTGGTTGAACTGGTCTGACAGAATTTTCCTGCTCTAGAGACCAGCCAGGGAGTAGACCAAAGCGAGGGATCGACAAATATTTCACTTCGTCCAATATTGGTAAGCACAGTTTGAATAGAGCGTTTCCAGGGATAACCATATAGACACTGTTGATGTTTGGTCAAAATACAGTTATACATGATTTGTGACAGTTTTCGGTACAGGGTTAAGTAGGTCATTCTCAAAATTTACTTAACTTTTTGCAAAGTATACATAAACGAACTTCCCTCGCAATGCCCCCTGCCACCGAAGTTTTATGCCAAAATAACATGCGCTGGAATATCTGTTTTCTCTCCACTTTTATAACTGGTCTGACAGAATTTTCCTGAGAGTTCTACCCAGTTCACCATAGATGATACAATTTGGGGTGGATTCACGCAGTCCAGTCGCGATTTTAAGAAATTTTAAATGTAGACTGCATTTCAATCACTTTTAAAATTTCGTATCCCCAAATTTCTGAACCATATGTTATAATTGGTAGAATCATCGTATCAAAAGCAGATAAGAGACAGTCAAGTGGTAAATTTGTATTTATGATCTCTTAAAGCTGTAGATAGCCTTTGTTGCGTTTGCAACAATGGATTTAATATATGTAACCTTCCTTTTATTTCAGTGAAGTTTTATGCCTAGACAGCAATTATTTGGAAAGCGAGTTATTTGGAACAGACCATGGCTTTATGCAAATTAGTGTGTGATGATATTGTATTACAAAGGACACTTTTTAAATGCCTATTTTGAAATTAGACATAGCCATTATAAACGATAGCTGACGTAAAAATAATTACTTTAATCCTGAAACCAGTAAGGATGTAGCTACCATTAAGTCTCACTATCACTATAAAAACAAATAGGTAGGAGTCGTCGTCTCAAAAGCAAATCCAGGACTGGTGTTGCAGACGGTGGTTGGGATCGGGTTGAAGGATAGAGCTAAGATAACCCTTTAAGGGAATATAAATTAAACTGGGGAAGTAAACGGCATGTCATATTAATTTACAAATAATATCCAGTCCTGTCGATCTTCGGGTGGTCATGCCACTTATATATTTTGAGACATTTAATACGATGCCTGATTTAAGCTTTTCTATGGGTATCATGCGCTTTTACATATCTCAACAAACTTTGACATAAAGACACTTGTCTTTCACGTGGATATAAGATTTAAATGATGCAACAGTCGTAATTTCTAATAGCTAAGGGAATATTATTTCACATTCTAACTGCTGATGGAATAAGATGACGTTGAGCACCCCAGTCTTGTACATGGTTGGCTAAAATTATCGGAGATTCGTAACTCATAACTTGTCCGGTTGCCTACTAAATGTGGGAGTAAATGCTGAAGAAAAACTGGTGCAAGACCGTCTTGGAATATATAGAATAATGTTAAACGCTTCTTCTTCTCTCAGAATGTGTATATATATCAGTGTTTTATTTAAAATGTACAAAGTAATTGCTCAGATCTAAGTTTTAAATACTTACCGTAGACAACATGCAGATGCTGAGCTTGACGTTACAGGTGTAGCAGGTGGGAGACAGGTGAGATCTACTGCTGTAGCAATGGCACCTGTACAAGGACAGACTGGGATCAGAATCACATATACCTGGGCCGACAAACAAATATGCAGACAGTAAGACATGGATGACAGTGTATATCCTTATGATATGAAATGTACGTAGCGCCGAACAAATAGATTCTGCGGGTATTTGAATTATTATAAAAAGCATGTATGGGTGGCTTTGCCTGCAAATTCGTGCAATCTCTGTACCAAAGGCAGAAGATGCTTGGATAGTGCCCGATACAAAGGGAAAGTTGACTATGTGAAAGTTGAAGCCATTCTTCTTGTCAGAAAGTCTGGGATAGGTTTATGAATATATATGAATCGAAATATAGAACACCTGAGGCTGTTTCAAAGTTCACCTTTTCAGTGGTAGGGTATAGGCTATTTGATCGGTTTTTTTAGACAAGATGATGGAAAGAATTATAATTTTGGGAACAAATACGTACACAGAAAAGGCATATATAGAAACTACAATTCCGAATCATATTATTGCATGTATAGTTTGAAACTCACCTTCTGGAGACATCCATGCTTGACATCTGATGTTTGACATAATCTGGCCGAGTCACATGACTAGGTCCATGTTTGTTGTCGACAGAGATCTGGACGTAGATATTAGTGGTTGGAAGACATCGGGAAGTCTATCAAAGTGGTTGGCCAAGATCTGGATTTGAACCATCTCTGGTGAATGATGCCCTAGACTTTGTCCATTTTGGTAGACTGAGGACTGTTCCGCATATCGCACTCCATGAGGCAGTATTGGACATAAGTGGATCCGATAGGTAAGATGAACAAAGCACTTCGTGATACCAGCCATATAACCGCACATGATTAGGAACATACTTCATCATCTATTCCTAGCATCAAGGATGATTAAAATACTACGATAAACCGCGCAACATAATACGGTTCAAAATGTAACCACAATATTGGTATGATCTGACATTCTCGTTGCAGTGGTATTGAATCTCCTGTTGGCAGTTGCCATTAAAACTGCTCACCAAATACAACCAGCCGAGAAGATGCTTACGGATACCACTGAGTCATCGTTCAACTAAAAGGTGTTAGCGGGTGTTTCATGTAGGAGTGTGAGCCATGAAACATGAAACACCCCTCAACACCTCAAAGCTGCCCGGTAATCAGTAGGTACACGATGCACCATCAACGAGTTGGGCGATTTGGCTAAACAAGTAATCCTAAAGAGCCCTCTTGGTTATGAAAAAAGAAGTGGAGATTGATTTCGCATCCTTATCGGATACTAGATCGTGGGAATCATATAGTAGTATATGAAGTGGTATGGTTTCCTGCACATGGAGCGGTGTAAATGGTAAAGGTAAAGAAGCTTTGGACTTTCAACACACCTGGGGAGAAAACGATAACATTTTGTTAGGACTATAATAATTATAAAGCTCTTGTTCAAGATGATGGAAACTTGTTTTGATATTCGTCTGACTATTGAAAAATTGAAGCAATCCTTCATGCATACACTCTGGTATAGGTTTTGAATACATACACATGAAGCAAATATGAAATATCCGAGGGTGATTCAGTGTGCGAGATGTTTCAAATTTTGCTAGCTAGTCGGGCAAGCTATGCCTGAAAGTTACAAGCCCAGCAAATAATTCACTAGCCCGAAATGTAAATGTAGACACAGGTTTCATCATTAAGCTGCTAATATGATGAACATTTATATCAGGTAATAATCTTGCATGATTTAAACGTGCGTTATAACTGAACAAGTCGGAGAGAATGATATATTAACAAAATAACCATATGAAAATTCACTAGCCAATCGGGTCAGTGATTCTGGAGATTTACTGGCCAGACAGGATTTTTACTAGCAACGGGCTAGCGCGCCAGTGGCTATTTCGCACAGTGGGCTGATTCAATGCTTGTTTTTTCATTGGTAGGTTGTAGGCCATTTGGCAGGGTTATTTTTAGATCATGAAAGGAATGCTCACCTTCTAGAGTCAGACATCCATGCTTGAGACCTGATGTGTGACAGCATCTGGCCGAGTTACAGGACTATGTCCATGTTTGTGGTCCTCTAACGTCTGCACGTAGACCTTAGCCTTTGGCAGAGATTGGAGAGTGTGTCGTGGTTGGCCAAGATCTGGAGTTTCATAAAGTGGTGAGTGAGGCATCTCTGGCCGAGATCCTAGACATTGTCCATTTTGGTAGGCCCAGGGCTGTGTGTTCCGCTTATTACATCTGATGAGAGTGTTCAACGGACGTTGATCGGATAACACAGGTTAAATAGCAACACACTTCCTGATACCAACCATACGACCGCACATGATTAGGATACTCCATCCTCTACGCTTAGTATACGGATAAGTAAATTACAACATTAAACTGAACCTCGAAACAGTTCAAATGTAAACGAAATATCAATATGATCTGACATTCACGTGTAATGGTATTAAATCTCCTGTTGCCAGTTGCCTTTCAAAGTACTCAACAAATACAACCAACTGAGACAATGCTTACGAATACCACCAAGTCTTCGTTCAACTAGAAGGTGTTAGCGGGTGTTTCATGTAGGAGTGAGCCATGAAACATGAAACACCCCTCAACATCTCAAAGCGGCCCGGTTATCAGTAGGGACACGATACATCATCAACCAGGTGGTCATGTAAATGGAAGCGGAGATTACTCCAACAATTTCGCATCGTAATTGGATAGCATGATCGTGGGAATTATTATATAGCATATGAAGTTTTAATATTCCTGCACATGTGCGGTGTAAATGGTGGAGGTAATGAACCTCTGGACTCGCAACACACCTGAGGAGAAAAAGATCGCATTTTGTTAGGATCAGAATATTTGAAAAGATCTTGTAACAGATGATGAATTAACTTGTAATGTTCCTTAATGACAGTTTTGATATTCAGAGGGGAATAGTTTTGTGAAAGGAACCAAAGACAGAGCAAGGCAGCTGCCAAGTTAACTACAATCATCTGCACTCAGGAAAAGATTCTGAAAAGTTTTGAGTGGTTTGATGATCATAACTGCGCATACCGGGAGAGGTAGCAGGAGGGTGGTCGCTTGCAGTCATGGAAGACTGATGGCAGCGTGTGGTTGATCACTGGGATTACCGGCTGATGGATGCCAACTGAGGGTGCCAAGTTAGGTGGCTGACGGTAGATGACTGCTAAGGATGGCGACTGATGATTGTTATACGATAATGCCATCTGAAAAAGGTAGGGGTTGAAATAACTTTCAAATTGCTAGTGTACTTAGGTACAGTGGCACATGTAAAATCACTTGCCCTGATAATTTTTGCACTATACCGGCCGTTTTCTTGTTGATTTTTAAATAAACAACATAATTAACATTGGAAAGCCAACGGGACACCGGTACAGTGTGATATACATATTTGCTTGCCTGACAGAAAAAACACTGGACACGGACGTCGGGCAATGAGTTATTTCCACCCCTGAATTATACCCAAGGCGAATGCAAGAACCCATTAATATCAATAAGTTAAACAACGCATGGCATTCAACTTACACGTCACTCTTCCTTGCAACGCCACCTGGACGACACCGGCAGGCTTTAGTACTCTTTCCCTCCTACAAGGAAACAAACAATACTTAGACCCTTTCTCCGATCCGAGTAGTATGGTACATTTACCCCTTGGATTTACTTGGATCCACAGATTCAGCCACGACCTTCACACGCGTGGTACAAAAACAAAATACGAGTGGTCGTATGGGGTCGTTACGAGAAACATTGACAGAATCATTCTCGGAAGTCAGGTAAGAAATCTCACCGAAGTACCCTGGGGCTAATTGAGAATATGCACCAGGAACTCACCCGTGTCTGAGTGCGCAGCTGAAGATTAATCCAGCTATCGAGAATGCATGCGTCTCAATGTTGTTGAAAAACATGCTGCCGGTGATCTACTGGAATAACATACTCACTGCTGAAAGAGGTTGAGTCGCCACATCCATAGTCACCGGTTGTGCTGCTGAGGGTGTTGCTGTGGCCATACCCGTTACGGCGACCATTGGTGCTGCTATAACAGTTGCCGTTCGAGCCGTCACAGATGTGGTCAGGGTTGTTTCAGCCTGGAAAACGAAAATAAACGTAACACATAGGGTGACTTACGTACTTTGCAAAATAGCGAACATCCACACACTCTCGATTCAACACTATGAAACAATATGACGAATCAATACCAGACATGTTGTAATTTCAATGATTTTTACAACGGTTATTAAATTATACATTGCACTTTCAATGATATTTACACAACCATTACTATACATATGATTAATGACGTTACAACTGTTGTCGACCAATACTATATACGTCTTATCCTCAGTGATATAACTTATTGTTTGATAATGAAGAAAGTCTTGACTGAGCACACCTGAGGTGAAATATACTTCCTTTCAAAAGTTTAGACTCACTAGTGTAAATATAGCCACTTACTTCAGACAACTGTTCTAAACTGATTTTTGATAAATATTTCATACTGTTTAATGGTATTGTTTACACATGAATTGATGTAGTGTAAAACAAATTCGTAACGTTGAAAAGATTATTGTCATAATCAGTGAAAACTTGCGAATTCTTAACAAAACTTTACACCAAAACGCAGCTGTTCATATGCACGATATTTGCACATACTTTGCAGCAATTTGATGCATGATCCTCATGCAATTCATGTTGATAAGGTTTTCAGTTGGTATCCCCCAAGTTAGTGGAAAAAATCAATCTTCAATGTAACCATATATATATATATATATAATATATATATATATATATATATATATATATATATATATATATATATATATATATATACATAACATATAATGAGTGTTTTAAGTGAGTCTAAACTTTTGACTGACTGACTGAGTTTGATTTTACGCCGCTTTTAGCAATATTCCAGCAATATCACGGCGGGGGACACCAGAAATGGGCTTCACTCATTGTACCCATGTGGGGATTCGAACCCGGGTCTTCGGCGTGACGAGCCAACGCTTTAACCACTAGACTACCCCACCGCCCCTAAACTTTTGAAGGGAAGTATTCAGAATCACTGTAAAGTCTTTGTTAAAGATGGTGAGTTAGCTTGTATGTTCCCAATTGAATGGTTTTGATATGAGACGCCTAAAGCATTTTTCAAACGCGAATCAAAAATTAGTTCAAAGCAGATCAGCGACCATGGTAAATGATGAAATCATCTGCACTCAGGAAATATTTCTTAAAAGTTTAAAATGGTTTGATGATCACAACTGTATACCTGGACAGCTCGCAGAAGGATGGCGTTGTAGTCAGTGGCCATTGAGGGACTGATGGTAGCGTTAAGGTTGATCACTGGGATTACCGACTGAGAATGCCAATTTCGGGGACTGGCTGAGGAGGCTGGGTGTCGATGACAGCTATGGATGACAACCTGGAGGATGGAGACATAGGGCTGCTGGCGAGACACGAAGAACGAGACATCTAACCATGTCTTTGTCTGATGAAGACCCGTTGTCGTACGGTAATGACATCTGAATGAAGAAAGGTTTCGTTTACACGTGGAGAGACAAAGATGAAAACATCTTCAACATCGTAGTCACCATCATAGGTGTTACTTCATATGGTATATACACAATGCAAAGGCGGGAAGATATTACTATCAAGTTTAGAAACACATGGCGTTCAACTTACTGGTCACTCCTCCTCCCAACGCCACCTGGACGACACCGGCTGGCTTCCGTATTCGGCCCCTTGTCTACAAGGAAACAATACTTAGACATTATCTCCAGTCCATGGGTCAGGGTAACCTTTACCCGTTAGATCTACTTAACATATTGGTGTTCTCCCTACTGCACGTGAGCATTGTTTCATTAGGGGTGTCAGACTGAGGATAAATGAACGCCTTGTATTTGTTGATCTGCGTCTCCAGGAAACTGAAGACTACTTACACAAGGAACATTTTGACGCTTAACTGAGAACAGTTAAGGCCTAACCGCGACAATGGGAAGATTGTTTAATCAACAGATTTGAAGATTATTGGTAATTAGGAGTGAATAGTCTTGTGCTGCAGTCAACAAGGTCTATTTTACTTGATAAGATGAGCAACGACCTGCACCCTCGTGGTACACTAACAACATGGCCGTATTGGCTCTTACAACCAGCATGATCAGTTTGGGAACGTTAAAAACCAGCAATCATTCTCAAAAGTCAGGTAAGATGTCTCACCGAAGTCCTCTTCTCCTCATCGAAAACACGTAGCAGCTCCTCGTATGGGGTTTCTTGATTCTGTCTGTGCTGCTGCTGCTGCTGTCGGTGTTGCTGCAGCTGTTGCCTCTGGAGACGGGGCTGATGCTGCTGTTGGAGCTGTTGCTGACGGTGCTGCTGCCGCTGCTGTCGGTGCTGCCTCTGGAGACGGGGCTGATGCTGCTGTTGGAGCTGTTGCTGACGGTGCTGCTGCCGCTGCAGGCGGGGCTGCTGCTGTCGGGCTTGTTGCTGCTGCCTGGCATGCTGGTGCTGTCGGTGCTGCTGCAGATGAGGCTGCTGCTGCTGCTGTAGGGGTTGTTGCTGCTGTTGTTGTCGGCGCTGTTGTTGAAGCTGAAATCGTTGGCGCTGTTGGAGCTGTTGTTGTCTTTGCAGTTGTTGTTGCCTTACTTGCCTTTGCCTATGCCTAGCATCACGCCTCTGCCTCGCTTCATCAGCCGCCTGAGCCTGAATTAAAACAAGCATGAAAAGGATTCATGAAAGGTTGTTAAAGTTATGAAATGCAATAATGTGGAACTGCTTCAATGTACCAATGTGAAATGGGTTCAGAATTATTTGAGAAGAAAGCAATGTAGAGCAGAATATCAAGCAGTTCTTCTTGGTCAGTTAGAACAGTCATGAAATACTCCGGAGCGAAATAAAAACACATAAATCGTAAACAGCTGATAATATGCTTCATATATATTTGACAGTGCAGAAAACAATTTGCTTCTGGGAACCTAATCTGATGTTGAAGTAGAACTCGTATTAAAGAATAATAGTTGCGGATTGACGGACGAGACACTAAATCTGTGTCAAGCGAAACTAAAGACTTTCAGCTATTGAGGATGCATGCCTCTCGATGCGAGTGAAACAAACTCCAAGTGATGAACTCCAATAGCATACTCACTGCTGTAAGGGTCTGTGTCGCCACATTCATGGTCATCGGAGCTGCTATGGTTGTTGCTGTGGCCAATGGAACTGCTGCTGGTGCTGCTAATGGAGCTGCTGATAGAGCTGTCGATGGCGCTGCTAGTGGAGCGGCTGCCGGAGCTGCTGATGGTGCTGGTAATGGAGCTGCTGTCGGAGCTGCCAATGAAGCTGCAGATGGAGCTGCCAATGGAACTGATGATGGAGCTGATGATGCTGCTGTCGGAGCTGCTGATGGAGCTGCCAATGAAGCTGCCAATGGAGCTGCAGATGGAGCTGCCAATGAAGCTGCAGATGGAGCTGCCAATGAAGCTGCAGATGGAGCTGCCAATGAAGCTGCAGATGGAGCTGCAGATGGCGCTGCCAGTGAAGCTGCTGGTGGAGCTGCTGTCG